TTTATTTTTGTGATTTTTGCCAGAGTTAAAAGAAGGAAAAGAAAGAAGCAGCAGTAGATGAGAGAGAAGTAGAATCCGATAAAGAAAAGAAAAGAGAGACATCTTGAGTTTGTTCAAGAATTGGTAAAAGAAGTCAAGTGTTGCTACCCAGATATTATTTTGCCTCTAGCTCAAATTCTTTATTGGATATTGGTAAGTTCTTCACTCTTGTTCATTCTAAAAGCCCAATGTCTGGATTCATTTAGCCATAAAACTTAACAAGGCCTCAGAACACTGGACCAATATTCAAATTTTTATCTCAACTGTTTAAGGAATGAGTCTTTGAATGATGAAGTTATTTAATGAGGCTATGAGACTCCCTTTATAGGGCCACAACATTAACATACTAGATGTTGCTGGTGGGGTTTCAGTAAACAAGTAGTTTTACAAATTTTAAAATTTCTGCAGTTTTCTCCAAATATATCTCTCCACTAATAGAAATAATATTTCTGAAGCAGGCATGTATAAAATGTATTGCCAAAACTGGAGAAATGAACAGAAATTTTTATAAAAACGCATTTAGGATCACAAAAAAAGACCTCACAAAAACAACTTAGCTAATCCACTAGTCATACATAGAAATAAATTCAACCATAATTTTGATTTTAAAAACTCTACACTCATAAAATGAATAATAAATATATATATATATATATATATATATATATGATGTGTGCTATATTTATGGAATAAAGTGCTCAATATCAGAGCGTGCGTAAATATAAAAGTAAATATTGAAGTCAACACTTAGAGGCGACAGGCTGTTTCATGCGATATGCAATCGTCAGGCCACGAGTGCTGTTTTTTTTTCGGCTATTTATATATACGGTTCAGTGGTGCATTGTGGGTAGTCTATTTTGGCGGTTATTTTTCCGGAAGTCGTTTATTTATTTGGGTTAGATTATTTTGCTTGTTTTTATTTATTTTTATTTTTATTTTTATTTCTCATCGTATATATTTATTTATTTTTATTTTAATCGGTGTTTTATTAACTTAGTAAAAATTTGTTTGTATCGCTTATTTAATAGTTTTGTTTTCGTTTGGGAAGATAATTAAAGCTATTTATTCAATTTTGGGGTGAATTGTTGTAGTTTATTCTAACTGTTATTTTGGCGGGAGCAGTTTTTAATTTGTTTATTATTTCATTTATTTATTTGGATTGATTATCTTTATTTGTTTTTTCAAACGATTAATTTGTCGGGATCGGTTTGTTAGTTTGTTTATTTAGTTATTTATTTGGATTAATTTAGATCAATTTATTTTACTTGTTTTTTTTTATTATTTATTTATTATACTGTATATTTTTATTTACTCTTTTCAGTTTTCGATTTTTAAGTAACGTAGTATTTTTTATCGTTACATAACAATTATAGTTATGTTTTTCGTCTGATTTTTGCTTTGATTTTTATAGTCTAATAATATTTTGGTCATAATGTTTTGTTAATTTGTTTATTATTGACTTTATTTATTTGGGTTCATTGATTTTTTAATTCTCTATCGTCTATTCTAACAGGTGCAATATCAGAGATAGAGCGTGTGTAAATACAAAAGTCAACATAGAAGTCAACACTTAGAGGCGACAGTCTGTTTCATGCTAGATGCAATCCTCAGGCCACGAGTGCTGCTATTTTTCTCGGCTATTTATATATATACGGGTCAGTGGTGAACTGTGGATAGTCTATTTTGGCGGTTATTTTACCGGAAGTCGTTTATTTATTTATTTATTGCTTGTTTTTATTTATTTTTATTTTTTTTTATTTTTATTCCTTATCTTATTTTTTTTTAATTTTTTAATCGGTGTTTTTATTAATGTAGTAAAAAAATTTTGTGTTTTGGTTTGGGAAGATAAATAAACCTATTTATTCAATTTTGGGGTTGATTGTTGTAATTTATTCTGACTATTATTTTGGCGGGAACAGTTTTTAATTTGATTATTACTTCATGTATTTATTTGGATTGATTATCTTTTGCTTGTTTTTTTCTGACGGTTAGTTTATCGGGATCGGTTTGTTTGTTTATTTATTTATTTGGATGAATTTAGGTCAATTTATTTTATTTGTTATTATTTATTTGTTATACTGTATATTTACTCTTTTCGGTTTTCGATTTTTAAGTAACGTAGTATTTTTTTATCGTTATATAACAGTTATAGCTATGTTTTTCGTCCTATTTTTGCTTTGATTTTTATAGTCTAAGTAATATTTTGGTCATAATGGTTTGTTAATTTTATTATTATTTACTTTATTTATTTGGGTTCATTGATTTTATTTTTTATTTATTTATTCTATTTCGTCTATTCTAACGGATGTGATTTGGTAATTTGTTTGGGTTAATTTATTTTATTGTCATTTTGTTTATTTTATTTTATTTTTTTCAGTTTTCGATTTCTAAGTAACGTAGTAAAAATTTGTTTTCATGTCTGCATTTTGAGATGAGCTCGGATCGTTTATTTAATAATTTA